ATCGCCTTTTCACTCTAGCCACACTATTAAATATCACGGCATTTATAAGGCAAAAATTGGAAGTTAAATAATTTGAGAACAATGCAGCATTCCCATGCATTGCAAGTAGTATTATTGAGGTGAAATCAACGACAACTTCATCTTACACGGCTGTCTTTCAAAGGGAGTTTTAGGAGAGACTTCCTTGACATGCACGTTCTCAAATGCTCAGTGGTGTTTGACAATGTACTCCCGTTACTGGATTTTATTAGAACGTAAGTCCAAGGTAAGGTGCCAAATTGAATCGTGTGGAGTGAAATCGTTGTGATGCTGGTCTCTCTTTCCCAATGGAGGAAATAGGATGATAGCTATTTGCCAGGATGTGCTTCTGCCATTCACCGTCGTGTAAAATTAGACCATACAGTGGCATTGCCAATTGACTTGAACACCATTTCACGATGTCATCACTAGACAATTGTGACATTGCTGTGTGATGTGTTGTATGTTAGAGAAATTGTGAACAGAGGGTTGGATTGAGGCTCCAATCAATGAAGTTGGCGGAAAATTGTGATTTGTGGCACTTAAACAAGGGAATGCCGTGCGACACTGTGGTATTGTGACGGAAGGTGGATTGGGGAGAATTAAAGGACAGGTCCCTCCCATTCGTTTTTAATCTGTCCCACAACGTCAATTGCAATGCACTCTCCTACGCTATCTGCACCTAAAACAGCATCCGTCAGCAACTGCCAAGATTTCATACTCACAAATTGGAGCATTAAGTCGGTGCTGTGCCAGCAGTGCCTGTAATGGGACTCACAACAGCAGCGTTAGGTTGTATGACCGTTGCTCCGAGCAACATTCCGGAAATCCTATTGAAGACGCAAGCACTATAACTAGCCAGTGAAAGAATGAATTGTTCTTCTTCCTCCTCCTCCTCCTCCTCCTCCAACAAAAACATTGCTGGTGAACCATACGGTCATTTTACCATTATTCCTTTGGAACGAGCGGTCTCATTAGATCGGCACAGTTTGTCTTGGTAATATTAAGGACGATGTGCAGTGAGCATGATTATGCTCGTTCGGCGTACACTTCATTATTGGAGGTAAGTGACACCAGCTACATCAAAACATTCGTGCTCATTAACCACCCCTCACCTCAACTGTACATTCAAGGAAACACGATTTGTGCATTATGGTAATCTCCCATGAAGCACGCTAGTTCGATTCGGCAGACGGGTAGAGTGGGAGAGGGGAAACAGTGAAATGCATCTGTAAATCAGCGTGACCTCAAATGGAAAAAGCTAGAATTCGTAGTCGCTGCAATGATCTGGCAGTTCATCTTTGTAGGAAGTGAGGGTTTCGACGCTTGCACCATCTCCAGCAGCAAATTCACCGACTGAAGAAGAACAGAATGAGTGAACAAACGGGCAGACGCAAATGTCAATTATCGGGGCTAGTGAAGGAAAGGGAAGGCATAGCAAGATTTAAATTGACCTGCCTACTTCACTTTACGGATTATCAGTTTGCCAATGCTGAACATTGTTATGATTGTTTGCAGTGCGAACCGCCATACGATCACTGGCACTGGGATTTCACCTCACTTCCATTGGAACTTTCTGCTGGAACCGTTGAAGTCCTCAATGCAGTTATTTGTACTGGACGGAAGTTGGCCATTCACCTGTGCTGGCTGGGTGGCTACAAATCGGTGAGTTGAGGTGAACCTCCTCAAGTTATCTCCTATTATCTCATCGAAGGCCTTGGAAAAACTAGCGAGAGAAGCTTCCACTGAACGAATCGAATTGATAGCTATCCTGAAGAGTGAGTTCGTGATGTATGGGTAAAATAGGATTACACGGATGTTAGGGTGATTCACGTTTATCAACCGTTGGCCCATCAGCTAAAACCGACAAGTAAAGGGTCGTAGCATGCTAGGCACAAATTATTTGGACGTGCACAACTGAAAAAAGGAGTGCTACACTTGTTAATAAAACACTCAACATCACCCAACAGAATGCCTCGTCTTCTTGCCCACTTAAAACTTGTTAGTAGTAGAACGACTACGTGAACATGCGGACTGATCCACAGCAGACGGCATCTAGACCGGTGGAAAGAGCTGAGGTAAGGGTAAGAATCCAAAACGGTCGAATAGGCGATTGGTTGCAGTAGTGGACGCATCCAAAGTGAAACTAGTCCAGTGCCAAATTCAAGGATCGCGAGCCCTAATCCCTATCACCTACACACATCTATTCTCATCTCCTCCTCACCAAACCCCCACTCCTACGCCACAAGACTCCGAATACCGGCAATGAGGCACAAGTATTTGGTCCACTTAAATTGTAAGAAGTCCGAATGCACACGCCCACAATTGTACGGAGCCCTAAAAGGGAGACGAAAACTGCAAGGAATATCGAAGATGTCCTGAGGGGAAATAGGCTCAAGCCAAACCGAGGCGGTGGATGCTCTCCTCACTCCCACCACCTCGCCCATCGTTTCGTGAATACCACTTCCAGTCCCACCGTTCCAAGCATTGAATTTCCATGCAAGTGAGAAGATAGTCGACTGCAACACCGCTGATCCCTCTCGGTTATCCTAGTGGGTCTGCATCAAATTGATGGCTATTGTAATGTGTCAGTTCGTGACATATGCGTAGCTTAGGATAGCACGGTTTGAAATAGTGATTTTCACGTACCAACTTATGGCCGACCAATTAATACCCATAAATAAAGGACCATGACATGCAATGTACAAATCCTTTGGACGTGCACTTTTAAAAAAGGACTGCTTCACTTGTTTGTGAAATACTCAGCACCATCCAGCAGTAGAGGCCCACAGGAAGCCTCGTCTTCATGCCTCCTCAAAAAATATTTGTAGGGGAACGACTACGTAGACATGCGAAAAGATCCATGGCGGACCGCATCCAGACTGGTAGAAGGAGTTGAGATGAGGGGAAGTATTCAAGCCGGTTGGAAAGGTAAACGGTACCAGTAGTGACCGCATCCACAGAGAAATTAGCCCAGTGCCAAATTCCAGGATCGCAACCGACAACCCCTAACACATATACATTGGTTCTTAACTCCTCCTCACCAATCACCCACTCTCACTCCACAAGACTCTAAGTATCGGTAATAGGGCATAAGTATTGAGTCGGGTTAAATTATAAGGAGTCAAGAAGCATACAATCAAGCACACGCATGTACAGAAACCTAGAAGGAAGATAAAATTCACAGAGAATGCGAAAACTATTCCATGGGTAAATAGATTCAAGTCAAACCGAGGTGGCGAATCGCCCCCTTACTCCCGCCTCATCATCCATCGTTTCATGAATACCACACGCATTCCCACTATCCCAGTCATCGAGCCTCCATGCAAATAAGAAGATACTTGGCCGCAACACCACTGATCCCTCTAGGTTGCCCTGGTGGATCTGCAGTTTCCTCCTCTATGTGGCTGGATTCGGGGGGAGGGGATAGATACTGGCCATCACGCGTATCCACACCTAGTCGTAGGGCCATCGTCCTAAAAGCAACAAAAGGGAAACTCATGTCAATGTAACAGTCTCAAGACCACCCTATTGGCAGAATAATTGGGCTATAAAGTGACTAGCAGTCAGAAATCTGCTGACGCATCCACCCACCCACCACTTGCGGAAGGTACATGTAACAAACCCAAATACTTGCCCAGGCCCAACAATACACTCCTTGCCATCAGCCCGTAGACAACCATTAGAAAAACACAAGCTAGCGAATCCCAAAATTGCACAACTGAATGCAGGCAAACACTAAAATGTAGAGAAGCAAATGAGGCACGGAGTAACTCAGCATTTCCAGCTTCTCTTGGTAACAAGTGACGTCATTTACCGAAACACATGCACGTAGACGTTATGCGCGCATTCAAGTAGAGCTTCTAATTCCCTACCAGGTAAAACATGCCGACTGCTGTAAGTCGAGGAACTGTGACAAATTTGTGTCCAATGCATCATATGGTAGCCAAGCAGTTACTGTCCGCCTCGCTTTGAATACATCAAATACAATTGCAAACAAGGGCGAGGAGAGACTGACTATATTACGCCTCAGCAAGACGAGAGCAACACAAACCGATCACTGAAGTCTCGACTTGAGGTGTGAAAGTCAATAACTGATCGGAGTACCATGTGTTCCATATGCAAGATACATTTCACCAACATGGATAATAAGGCAACCGAAATAAAGCAAGTTTTACCATGCATTACCTGTAGAAAAAATTAGAACGAAAAGGAAATATAAAAATCTTGCCTACTACGTATATTGAATCCGTTAGTGCACAAAATGCATGACAAAATCACTAATTGTATTCCATTCTTACCTAGGCAGATCAGCCGCAATCCATGAAAAGCTGATTATTTCACTACAAACTGCTTCGGTTAACAACTGCGACGTGTCAAGTAATGAAAGAAAGCGAGATTCACGCTTAGTGCTGTTCGGCAATGCCTCCATTAACAGCAGATAACGCTTCTGGAAAAATGAAATCCACTGTTGCAGACTGAAGGATCCGCATCATCTTTAGCACTGAGCAAAACAAAATCTCTAGTTGACTTTTCCATTTTTTCAACAAATAAAGACCTATTAATCAAAATCCACTGTCATTAGGAGAATTGGGAACGCAAAACACCTCGAAGGGAGCTTATACTACCCACCTGGAGAATCATTCAGCATAACAAACCTATGGAGACGATTTATGCCTATAAACACTGCATAAAATCACAAGTTCTTTTTTAAAATTGCTTGTGGTAGGCATATCTTTTGTTGCATTCAATGCACACACCTGCATGCATACAACTGCAAAATTGAAATATGAAATGCTTACAACGTATAGCCAAGATTTTGAACATTCGCATGACATGGACCGCAAAAAATACGAATTTTGTATTTTAAACTAAACACATTATTGGTTGCTAAATCAGGCATCCCCAAATGTTTGAGAGGTGCTTTATGAAATATTTGTGCCTCTGAACTACATCATATCATTCCTGAATTATCTCCTGAGCTCTCTTGTAGCATTAGTTTTTACTTTTATCGTAGAAAAACTACACCTGGTATTTTTCGTCCTAATGTCGAACTTCTTTGAAAGGTGTTGTTAAAAAGTCTCATTTGTTGCCACGGATTCGCTCGGAACAGACCAAACGCTCTCTAAGAGTGAGGCTATCACTCTGCAGGCGTATTTATGCCAACGAAAAACACCGACAGCTTATTAAAAAGTGCTACTCGTAACCCCTTTTTGCAGCTTAAAAGCATTGGCAACCACTAGAATCGGTAGATGCAATCCGAATATATGTAAGCAGAGCAAACCTGAGAGAGCTTCCTTGTCTACACGTCCCTGAACATGTACCTACTCTCCCCGTTTACTTCTTTTCCTAAACATGACGTAATTGAATCAACCTGGGTGTCCTAAGTGTATGAGGTCCAGGGAAGAGGAGATCCACGGGTCACGTCATACACTGGTGTCAGCGCCGGCAGACCTCCTCCCTCTCGGAAATGACATGAACTCAAAAAACTAGCTAAGATCTACTGAATTCAACCTTTATCCTTATCCCCGGTGCCAATAAGTACCCCTTATCCTCTTTGCTCTCCCCCGTGATTTATTTTCTGCCGCAGTCGACTTCGGCATCACCTACGATACCGACATTGATCAGTGCTGCGATACGTTGGCACTATTCGTCTTTGGTCGGGAAAGGCTAAACCTCACCAGACACTTCTTCCACCGTTTCCAAAAAGCTGACGAGGACGACAGAGTGCATTCTAGGATCCTTCAACACCCACAGAACATGATTTTAACGGCTGGCCTGCAAACAAGACATGGAGTCCGACTTCTCGCTAGGGTTTAGAAGCCCTGTCTCATAAAGACCAACTCCTTTAGCTAGCTGGCCAAGCTCGCAACGGATATGCAGTAAGAGCTTCGGCGACCCCAATTTACCGGAAACCGTAAAACTGAACAAAGCCAACACCCTCCCATCGTGTCTCTCTACGCCATGCCCCTAGACCAGGTGAGCCTACATTTTCGCCTTCCTGTCTGCTCCCAAATAGCTCCCATTCTTATGGGCCAATTTCTGGTAAACTTGAAGGACATCCCTGCATTTTCTTCGCGACTATGGTGCAGCTGGGTAATTAATCGACCTCCAAGCCTTCTTCACCCTTTGTAACAGGGTCAGATCTTCTCCCCTTCTACACAATTACTTTCAGCAGAAGGAAGATGCTAGTTGAAGGAGCGATATTTTGCACTTTCTCAAAAGGAATTGGAGTGGCAAAATACCATGTCGAGGCCTTCTATGCAAAAACCACCTTGTAAGTGACTGCAAAGTCGAAAAAGACATTTGAATCCTTCCTACTTAGCGGCATTACTATCAACTGAGGGTAACACAAAGTGAGGAAAACTTTCAGAGCCGTTGTCGTGATGTTGCATTCATGAAACTGGCGGTATCTAAAGTGAATCATAATTTAGTGGTCAGGATGCATTCCTCCCCTTGGTCAAGTAAAGCCATCTATCCAGCAAAAACTACAATCAGATAAGCAGATACGAGGCTAAATGGGGATACTGCTTAAC